GTTCGGTCAAACTCAAGCTCGAGTTATACTATTATTCCAGCGCTCGCGAGTACACTCGATTCGTTTGCTTCTAGACCACCCAACAATTCTGGGCTTGGGAAATTGAGCCCTAGCCCAACCCAAACACCATAAGGTTTGGGCCAGTTTACATATGGATCGTGCCTAAATTTCACAACTCCAATTTGAACTTTGATATAAACAATCTTTCAAATGACAATTGACAAAACATACACCGCTCATTTCTCACTACAAGTTAATGTAATTGATGCCATATTAATTGGCTTGTATCCACCATTCTCACCTTCACAAATCACCAATCTTTGTATAGTGCTACAAAAAGGGGCAAATTCTGTTTTGTTAAATAACTATAATAGAAAAATAATTATGTTACATAACACTACAGATCCACATCAAATTTCCACCATACTTTATGAGGGACTTATATATTAATTGGAGAATATTGTTTTTAACTAGGCACAACAATAATGGCAATTTCCACTTCTGGTTCAATCAAAATCCAAATAAAGGCAATAAAGAATTATGTATCCCATAATTGATAATTTGATGAGACACTTGATAGAAGCACATAATGTTGGAAAAATTAAGCCTAGGAGAAATATTTCTAGTAATTTAGGAGGAAATAAATTTAAAAACATAAAATTAGCCAAATATAAAAACTAAGGAGCTGAGTTTAGAAGAGTTTGCATCGAAGCACATCGTAGCGCTCTCTTCAGAGATAACGCCCCCACTATACGGGTAAGTTGATATCATGTTTTTTCTCCAAAGATTCGACAACCCGATGGTACTCTTGTGTACAGCGCGAAGAAAATCTCGGACCACAAAATACTCAGGCTCAAATTATATGATAATGATGCATATAATTTTTACTAAAATCAGAGAACAATTTTGGCAAGAAATGGATAGAAGTAAATAGATAATGAGAATTTCTCAATGGAAGTCATGATTATGGTGGTCCAATTTATAGGTGCAAAAGCCTATTGGAATTTGGAACGTTTGAGGGCAATTTAAGAATTTTGCAGCAATTAAAAAATTGAGACGTTTATAATTAAAGGTTGTGAGCAATTATAGATTTCTTGGAATGATTTTTTGGACCAAAGAAAGATTATTGCACCATATTATTTTTTAAATCAGAAATTATCTAACACATAGTTGATAATTTTACTATATTTCAAATTAGAAGTTATTTATTATTACCAATATGTGTAGTCAAAATAAGGTGAAGCCAAAAAAAAA